TTCAGATTAGCCGTATTTTTAGAATCGATTTCAAATCGAACAATGCTTTATTCGTATAGTTTTATGCATTACTACAAAATAGGTTAAAAAGCAACGAAAAACGCTGAATGTATTTTGACTGAAATATGACCGCGCATGAGATCAAAAGAAGGGTTTCACGTGCAACACAGAGATGTACTTCTGTCTGTATTGCTCTTAATGAGCTGTTTGGATTATAAATTTCAAAATCAATTATAGCTTTGATTGACATTCAAGATCCTCTATTGATCATCATTCTGGCCATTCTACACCCCCTACCATTGATCTTTTGGTCAAATGGTCAAGCTGGTGCGGCCAGTTTCGACTAAAGCTTTCAACCAAATATTCTGTCCAACGAGCTCATTCAACCATGCGCCAATACCAATTGCTTCATCACACGGTGTGACGGACAGTTCATGCAAATATGCACAATACGTACTCGCATAAAAGTCTAAACTGACCACTAATGGTCTGATTAACATCTCGCCTGTCTCACCACCACAATTTAGCCATTTGACCACACAGAATGTACGAAATCTGTTCTTATCTTCTCCATAGCGGCTGACTAAACACTCAACTCGTGAACTCACCGAGGCCATTTTCTGTTCGCTTGAGCAAGGCTGTCTCTAATCATGGAAGTTATCGGAGGTGAATGTCTTTATTTGAGAACCTTTCTGCAGGTAAAAGAACACGTGACTTCAGTTAACCGGGTCAGTGATAGACAGGCACACAGCATCCCAACACAAACAGTCCTTAAAGTGTGATGTTTATCACATGCAGTCCTTATCTAGAATCTCCCTTTGAACGCATGGCGAGAAAAAAGGGAATGGGAAAATCTGTGTTCGAAACACGATACCGATATGTAAGTAAAAAGTGACATTACGCACTCTGTTTGTTAATTGAATTCTGCTCTTTACAATTTGACCCCTCTTTTTTCGCCAAGGTGACTTCGTTAAGATGACACACGCTGCATTTTTTGGATGTCTTTGTATACCTTTTCAGAATCTCAGATTTCATCATCTCGTGAAGATGTTACAGTTTAATATTAAAGAAAGAAAATCCTCGCGTGAAATGAATCTTCAGCTTAAACTAGCTGTACCAGCGTTCTAACGCCTAAAGCAGTCCACTGTTATTGTAAAGATCGACAATTTCCACTTCATTACAGGAAGACGTCTCACCTTTACAACGGAAAAGATTGGTATCTATCTCTGAAATATCATCTCGACTTTCTTGAAATTGTAAGACAAAATTTCCTTACTTGGGGTGGTGTTTATTGTTGACCTACTTTAAGAAGAAAATCGTATTCATTTCTTTGCCTTTGTCGCCAACGAATTCCCGCAGATTAAAAACAAATTCGATGTTATGTAAGATCAGAGTATCCAATGTACGTGATGCAGGTCATATAGCTAGGATACAAGTATGAAAACTTAATGAGTTATAACGTTATAAAAAGATGAGAAGGAGGATGGGCAGAGATGAAAATGCTTTCAGTCCCGATAAAGTGACATCTACTTTGACACTTTCTATAACGACAAGGTCAAAACTCAGCTGATGACAAACAACATTGTGTTGAGACTCTCGACGAAATCTCTAGTCCACGGACAAAAGATAGATAACATCGCTATCAGAATTAATCATTAAACATGTCAGGTAGATTTCATGTACAAGTTACAAAATATGTTTTGTCAAGACACAATACAGTTCCAAATCAGTGGACCGGAAATAAGACTATCCCTGTTCTCGTGCCTGCTTTCCCATTGGACGTAGTATTAACAGCGCGAATTCTGCCCCCGGTTGTGTAAACAGCGAGAAAAACATCTAATTGAAATGAGCTAAATTGGATTTTTTGTTAAACATAATAGAAACGTGTGAGAGCGGATATTAAGTCTGTGTTTGACACACCTCGGGTGACAGGTGTAGATCTATCCTCTAATACAGGTTAAAAATTGTTGTAGGGATTAAATCCTCGGTCTCTTCCTTTGTGTGCCCCTGCAGGAAACTACAATTCGTTACAAATCCTCACAAGGCAAACGTAGACATCTTGTGACATGGTTTCGTGAATTTCCATACTTGAAAACGGCGAAGTAATTTCATTATTTTACATAGATTTTCTGTTGTTTACATGGATGCCAGGCATTGAGTGATATGGTTTTAAATTGAATTTATTGCATCAAATCTGTGATACCGTGCTAAATAAGCTGCTCCCGTATTTTTTTCATAGGCAGTCAATTAATGAATATCGTTTCGAATATTTTTATCACAGACTCCATGCACCTCGAGTGGGCGAAGTGTATAAATCACACGACACTTCGGTACAATGCCTGTTAAACTAATTGACTCGACGGGCCTCGATGTAGCGGCATGAATTCCGTGACATGCAAGCAAAACATTTTCTACATGAAAATAATTTAAGAAAACGCAAGTTCCTAAGAACCAACCTTGGCGAATGCCTTTAATTATGAAGAAAAGTGGTATGCATTTTCTATTCATTAAATTTTGTAGGGGATATTAAATTAAATTAGGCGTGAGTGACATTACGCGATACCTTGTGACGTTCGTTTAGAATACAAAACTAACGATGTATATACATTGTGGAGGGTTAAAGATTGGAGTCGGGGGTTAGTTCTATCCGCCGGTATGTGACGAGTAAAGAAGATTGGGGCGGTTCAATGCATCTCGTTATTTCTAGAGCAGGTGGACGATGTTGTGGAGTATCAAGTGTATAGCACCCCTACAGATAGTGGCAGATTAAGGAAACTTCTCTTACGTACATATAAAACCTGTTCGAATATGATATGGGTTTTAACAGTATAGCTCTATAAAGATGGCTCTAAATCAAGAGAGAGAAAGTGTGGTTTGGGTACATCTCCGAGGCCCTCCCGCAGATACAACCCACTAATAGGTATCCTCGCGGTAACACTAGGAATTCGGAAGTCTAGAAGCTCACGTGAAACATTTGGCAACTATACTCCTGTATATGCGTTTAACCTTTGACCTTGGATCCATTCACAAACGTGTTCAGACGTTTTGTATAGCATTTAACTGAAACCTGTACAACTAAGTCTACTGAGGTTAGTTAACTAAAGCAGCAGACTGTTGACCTGTTGTAGTGAACAATTTTGATCAGATTACAAACCTATCTACATGAAAAGTGGCATAATTTTTTTTTTAAATTGTATTTCATCTTATCAATGTAAAATATGAGAATAAAGTAAAGTAACAGGTTTTAGTTTTGAATAATTCCTATATACTATGTAAGTTTTCTGTAGAAACGAAAGCACTCAAATAAAAGGGACTAAACTATAAATCAACAAAAATCCGAAAGGGGATATTACGGCGTATTTTTACAGATGACGATGTGAAGTATTTTGATAACCTCCTACAGACCTCCATTTTGTTTTTCATTAGTATACAAGTATCAGATACATACCAGATGGTTTTAGAAAGAGCAGTGACCCTTATTTCCATCATCTTTACTGGAATAATTGGCCCTTTGTTTTTCTCCCAGAAACATCGCTCTCAACTGAACAGGTAATGTTTTGTTTGAGTAGAAAATATATATCTTATGAGTGTTTTATAAATAGCTTATGTTATGAGCAAGAGGAGTTTTATCTCTCTCTATATAGCTTCTAGGAATTTTAGTACCAACTTCATATAGGTTCCTTTGTTATATATCTTATCCGTTACTTTGTATCTCTTTTGTGATATATATGTATCGCGAGAGACTCATTAGTATATGTAATATACAAGTATAACAATATGACATCATAAATAAAGCATGGAAAAGGTTTGGTTCATGTATCGAAGATTTGGGGATGGGGAAAGGGTCGTTCAATTATCAGTACAGATAGGTTGAAAATGGGAAGGGTCTTGGGAGAGGGAGTGGGGAAGCAGATGTTGTAGCTCGTGCACCACTCGGAGTCATGAGCTTCTGTCGAATGGTTGGCATCTACCAAATGCATCATTTAATGAGCTTCTACAAGGGTTGGTTTTCACACGCTTCGATTACATTGCTGGCATTATGAGTATATACAATACCGCCTGATTATGATAAAGCTGCCGACAGGAAAAAAGGAGGCGGATCTCACCTCAATACACAGATGTGTTTAGGGTGATGTAGGTACTGTATAGAGCAACGAGCTCAAAACTAGAATCATCAGTTGTGAAAACAAAGTGGTGGGAGTAGTCTTAAAATATACACATTAGCCTATAGAATCTACAAATCAAATATTTCTAAAATCAATACTCGTAGTTTTAAACTTAGTATGATGAATAATATAAGAAATCATTTCAGCTAGTATAACTTTGAGTAGTTGGAGTAGGTGGCTGGTGTCCTCGTTATAGATATCACGTCTTGTATCTCAGTAATCATGGCGTCATATTTCCAGTTTAGCTGATCATGTGTTATAGATATACCTAAAAATGTCTGCAGGGACATCCCGTCCGTCAATCAGTTACATATCAAAATATGTCAACCGCGCGCGGAAAGCGCGTGCTGGAGCGTCACGCGGAGAAATTCCACCTCAGCAGCCGAACATAATCTTACTAATGAGTTTCCAGCCGAAAATGGATATTTACTCGCAAATAATACCATGCATGTCAACAGTTACCATTCACACGGGAGTTGGTCTTAGGTTGTATTACGTATTGGCGAGGGATGCTTTTATCATAAGCGTGTAAATATTCCATCGTCTGCTCGCAAAATACCGATTTGACCGTTCTCATGGCTTTTCTAGTGTTTCCTCTGCATAATTGTTCGGTCTCTCCAAAATATCTAGTATCGTATCAGAAAGCCAAAACAACGGATGTTTTTGCTGTGTGTGCACCAAAAATGATACGTTTGGGAGCGAATACTGATGAAAACATGACTTACAGGTGGAATGATCTAACTTGTTTAAATATTACTGACGATGTTTTGTATGGCACACATATCATTTACATGCATGAATATTAATTTCCCGTAACACCATAATAATACCTACCTCTGGTTCCAGTCGTCCGACTCTGAGTGTAATAGGGTCATTTTGGACAACCTGCACCCGGCAATCTCCATTGGATTCTGTCCGACCAAACCTGAGGTCATCTCGACGAAAATACACACTTCGGCCAATCCTCACACTTAATTCCCTTTTCGATAATAGAATCTGACCACTGGTCAACGAAATAAAGGAAGAAAAAAATAAGATCCATTTGAATATATCACTGCACACCATATCCCTCATATTGAAACCTTGTATATATCCATGTAATATTTTTTTCTCCACGCACGTGTCGTCGAAACAGGTTTTAATCCGGAGACCTTATTTAACTACCTTGACGTAGACCATGCTTCCCTTTAAAGGGGTAGGTTGAGGAATTGATCCATCGGTAGGTCACGTTTATTTTCCTGTGCAAATATTCCACTGTTTCGTCTGTGATTTCTTATCAAAGCGCTGACTGTTATTTTTCAGTACTGTCTCGTTCTGCCCTGAAGTGAAATCCTCTCCAACCACCTGTTGATATAAAGGTCATAAGCAATCCTTAGTGGTAGGTATGTAGGGGGTGCTCTCTCTAATTAACAATAGATATAGTCATGTCGATTGATTAGAGCCTGTTATACGGTATATACCTGTATATGTAGGTAGACCAATATACCTATATATAATACTTATATATTTGTGTGTACATTTCATACCGGTCTGGGTGTTATTATGTAATTTCGCGGCATAATATATACATATCAACGTATCTATAAAATCTATTGTTATAGTATATATATAAAATTTATTGTTGTGATATATATATAACATATTGTTCTACAGTACATATACTAGATATATTCGGTTTTTGTTTACATTCATGATATAAATAGGATCTTACTACCAGCATTCATTTTTTTTTTCAATTTAGTTACGCGGCGAGCTAAAAAAGGAAAAATTGTAATTTCGTTTACAAACCTCATGTAATGAAAACGGATTACAATTTTTCTTAACACAATCACCTAATTTTCGGATAAATTGCAAAAAGAATCTATTGTTTTCATTCTTTAAAAAAATGTTTAAATCTTTATATAGTTTGGCAGCTATGTCTCATGAATATATATGACTCGTAATGTTGTAAAGATATGTGTGAACACATATATGTGAGCTATATTCAAATTGCTATACAAGTACTCAACAACACTGTAAATATTTAATGTAAAATATTCACCCAGTAGCTGCTTCCCGTGCAAAAATATTATTAGCATTACACATCTAACAGTACATTACGTACAACCGGTAAGTATTTTACAAAGACACAAACTATCAGGACAGGTATACCGTATATCATATAGACATCAGTATCTTGTGTAGGTGTGCCTTACCTGGAACCTTGTCCTAAACATGTAGAGAGATAGAGATTCATGGTATATAAGTAAGGAAAAGACTTATCTACCGATAAGCATAAGCAAAAACAACTGAATTCTATATCAACTACAGTATCGATTTCACATCTATTTCAATAGTTACGTGAATACCAGGACAGGTATTCAAGTCGTTACGGGTGAAAGCACGTGGTTTACACGTAAGCTCGCGAGGCGTGGTCGAACCCCGGATAATCTGGTACCTAGACACCATTGGCTTCCAATAAGAGTAAATAGGGGTTATTAGCGAAAGGGACGGAACCACGATCAAACCCAGTACAAAATAATACTGTCTCGGCGACTTAATCCCTCCCAACTCCCCACACCTCGACAATATGTTGTGGTTTCAATATATTTAGGGTATTAGTAAGTGTGTCTGTGCAGGCCCGTCTCTTTTGACTGCTTAAAGGTTTTTAACTTCGTTTGAATGACACCATGAAAACTGTTTCGTCTACTCCTGTGGGGTATTACTACACCTCTACACTAAAACATGGGTTCGACGGACAAACTGCTCAGGATTATTAAATAATATTTTTATGACTTTATTGACAGCCACAGAATGAATTATTAGAGCTTGTGCAGATGAGATCAACTATCGTGTTACGGTACAGAAATCTCTTCATATATATCTTTGGTGAATCGAAATATAGGTAATTACTGATAATAATGTACATTCACCACAACATATATACATATAGACACTATCTTAACACGACAGGCGTAAACATATTTCATATAGATACTTACATATAGATATAAACTATATACAACAATTTTTTTCAAAAACATCGGCATGTTTCGTCCAGTGTATATTAAACATATAATTTCTGATATATACCTACACTGGGTCCTAACGGCTAGCAGATTCTATCTGAAATTACCTACTCCAAATTATACATTAATGATTAATTATAACATCACAAGACCCAGCTGTTATCATACTGTATATTTTATAATTTTACAAAATTCTATGTCGTGTTTATGGCTTCGAATTATCAGACTAATTCAATCTGAATTGCTGCTGCCGTAGACTCATCAAAATAACACGATTTTAATTTCAACAGATATCTAGCATCTACGCACGTATAACACACAATTTAGGTTTAACCAGACATTTAACACTCTACATACAAATCAGAGATTAGGCTTTACCAGATATCTAACATCTACATGCAACGTCAGAATTCAGGATTTCGGCACTAAATTAAATTAACTTCTGCTCAACAGTACTGAAACGTTTGCGCAAATACGAACCAATGAACTTATTTACAGCTTCCCAAAAATGGTTAAAATAAAAGGAACAACGGAATAAAAGAAATGCCAAAGAATGCCTGGTGTCAGATATAATGTTAAACATGAAGTCAGTAGGGTTCTTTATTTTTACGCAATATTTCAAAACAATGTTAAAGTCATTTACCACAATGACAATGCTAAACTATTTTCCTGTGTAATAATATGGTTAGTGATGTTGATTTAGAACCAAATTGTTTCCGTTTGTTGTTAAAAACAAAGAGATCTTGTTAGAAATCGAAACTGGAGCAAGAATGTCTCACGGTCTCGCGATAATACTCGCTGGCCAGAAGCTAACGGTGGATAGTCACGGATCTGAAGGTAAAAGTTCGCGGTGTTTATCAATGAGTATCTGGCTCGCAAGCAGACCTTGAGCAACGGAGGGTGCTCGCAGCTGTGTTAGACTCTGACCCATAACACTAGAGGGGATGGTGTTGGAAAGCTGAGGAGGACGTTCTCACTAATGTCCGTTCTGTTGTTTTAACAGCGTAGGAAGTTTGTTGGCTGGGAATGAAGTATAAGCAATGGAACGTGAAGTAAAAATCTAAAGTGTGATGTGAAGTCAGATATAGACATCACTTCTGTAGTACAGACAATCCTTTAACATATGTAACATTTCTATTTTCTTATATATTTATTCAAACTTTCAAATTTCTCGCACTGTTATCTTCTTTACATTTATTTATTGTTATAAATAAGTCAAAACAATGCTTAATCACATGATCTGTGACGTCAGAAAAACCTGCGACAACATGAAGATAATTGTATAACAGCCAGAACAAATAGGGCAATTAAAAAAACATCAATTCAATAATTACGGAAGCAGAATCGAGTCGAACATATCTTTTTAATATGTAACGAGATAATTTTACTCTTTAATCATGTAAAAACGTACTTCTTCTTATTTTTTCTAGTATTTAGATATATAGGTAAGGATCCATTTGAAAATGTAAGCAGGATATACATCCATTCGGAACTCACAAGGACAAGACTTTGTCTTGTAACTTCGCCAAAACGTAGGGATGCGAGATAATCATGGCAACCAACTTTGTGTTTTTATACCCGTAAGCTCTCCAAAGACAATAGAACAAGACACCACGGGATAGGGGGATATCACTTATTCATTGTGCCGTTCTGAAGGGTGGCGGTTTGAGATGTTAATAGCAGTAGTGCTAGCAGCCTTTAGACGTTAGTTTAGTCAAGGTCTAGACGGAACAGCTTCCACAGTTTATGTTCTGTAATTGCGCGGAGTAATTTAAGCGATATTGACTCTAGCTGAGTATTTATCATACCTCGCCATTCCTCCCTATACCTCTACATTCATCGCAGTTTACACAAACGTTTATCAAATTATTTCTAAATATCATAATTACTTTCACAGCAAACGGTCAAATTCACCGCACACTTATTTTCCATAGACAAAAACAATCATAAAAATAATATTTTCTAAACACATTGATAATGGGATAATAATATTTTGGTTAAGGGTTGTAAACATTCCTAATTCATATATACAATGGTTAAAAGAATGATAAGTGGTGTGTAAGTATTCTGTACTATAAGCCTTTACTACAGCCATCTGACTACAGCCATCTGACTACAGACAGTGGTACCCAGTACTCAGAACATTCCTGGTACTGGTCATTACATATTAACGTTTATTTCTCTTTGAAGCTGATTTGATAAAAGTTTGCTTTTCTTCCTTGTGCCAATTCGGAGAATCATCATATGAACCAAATTTTGAAAATCCTTCTAATTGCAAATGTCTCGGAAAATATTTTTTTCTAAATAAACCATGTGTTAGATAGATTTTTTTTCACACGTGATATGGACAATTCAACTTTGTGACCCAGCGTGTTACCTTAACATTTTTATACCACTACTTGTAAAACCTTGATGACGGACAACGAGCTTGGAGCTTGCGATAATTCTGAAAATTCCGTCATTTTCAAGTACAGCTCGAGTACTTGGTAGCGTGAACGAGTACCCTATTGGAAAAGTAGTATTGTAATACTGGGATTAAGGTGCGCGGTCAGATCCCTTCGGACGGCAAACAGAAAAAGTGGGCACACAATGGCACGGCGGAGGTATTTTAAGGCTTTATTTACTTACGGCGGATGTCTAGGTGATACTAATTTAAGAACTGTCAACTTGCATTTTCAAAAAAAAAAAAAAAAAATGGGGAGGGGCGGGGGTAATTTAGTTTAGTTTGTTTGCAGATGTTCATATTAATATATACGCAATTTTTACCTGGCGGTGTTTAAATTGAGTCAAAGTAAGCAACGTTTCTGTTTTCATAGTTATGATTTATGTCTTGGACCATGATATCGACCTAACCATACATCGGATTTCTAGTTATAGGGGTGTAGTCCGGAGAGGGGACATATCGTGGTAACGAACAGTAATACCTCAAGTACAACACTTCAGTATAATGAACTAATCAGGAGATAAATAGTTCATCGAGATAACTGTCAACAACTGGCCAATATCGGGACTGTAAAGGACGTTAGAGAAACAGTGTAGGAAAAGACAATATTGAAAGAAATTGTG